TTTTTTTTGCTGTGCGCGGGCCTCTCACTGTTGTGGCCTCTCCCGTTGCGGAGCCCCGGACGCGCAGGCCCAGCGGCCATGGCCCACGGGCCCAGCTGCTCCGCGGCACGTGGGATCCTCCCAGACCGGGGCGCGAACCCGTGTCCCCTGCATCGGCAGGCGGACTCTCAACCACTGCGCCACCAGGGAAGCCCCCCAGTTGTATTTTCTATACATGAAAAGTGAACAGTATGAAAAGGAAACTTTAAAAATTCCATTTATAACAGCATCAGTCAGAATAAAACATTTAGGAATTAACTTAACCAGGTAAGACTTGTACAGACTTGTACACAGAAAAACTGAAAAACAATTTTTCAAAAAGGAGAAAACATACTAAGAGAAATTAAAGAAGACATAAATAAATGGAAAAACATTCTGTGTTCACGGACTGGAAGGTAATATTTTCAGATGACAATACTAACCAAAATGTAGTGGATGTATATGGGTAATGATTGCAAACCAATGTGAATGTACTTGATGCCACTGAGCTATAAACTTAAAAATCATTTAAATGGTAAATCTTACATACTTTTTATTTTTACCATATAAAGAAAGTGTGCCAGAAAAAAAAATATATATTGTACAAGGTCACAGAGTAAATGCCAGACCCAGGATTCGAAACTAATTGTATTTTTTCCAGAGATGGTGCTATTAAGATTTTGCCGTCTGTTTACTATAATGGTCTCTTAACTGCTATTCTGCCCGCTGTGACCTCTATCCATTTTGCACACTGTTCGTAGAGTAATCCTCCCGGGAAGATGTAGCATGGGGCGAGTGGTCACTTACATTTCACACCCAGCCTGAGGGGGTCACTTTTGCTGGAACTGCCCAGGTTGGAGACCTCACACTGATAATCCCTGGCATCCTCCCTCCTGACGGGGTTGATGGTGAGGGTGCTGTTGTCTGGGGACAGCTTCATCCTCTCTGTGAGCAGTAGACTCTGGCCATTGAAAAACCAGCATATGGAGATGCCAGCGTCATTTGAGAGGCAGGTCAGGACGGCAGGGTCCTTATGTTCTGTGACTGTGGTATTGCTGGTTCAGATGGAGGGCTGTGCAACTGGGCCTGTGGAGAAACAGAGGAGGTGACTGACTGAGAATAGGTCAAGGGCCTGGGGCCACGCTCCTTCCTCAGAGGTCTCAGCCACCCCCAGGGCCAGTGAGCTCTGTAAAGGTGATCAAGGTCATGGGGCTCTCTTCATTGATGATCTGTAAGGAGAGGGCTGCACCTCCTCTCTGAGGATTGGCCAGCAAGGTGATGTCTTAGAAATTCAGAAGGTCGGGGGTGTTTCAAGAATGTAACTAAAATGAAATCCAGCAATTCCACTTATATATATATACACACAATGGAATATTATTCCATCATGAGAAAGGAGGACATCCTGCTACAGATATTTGTGACAACACGGATGGACCTTGAGCGCCTGACGCTAAGGGAGATTAAGTCAGACCAAGAAAGACAAGTACTGTATGATATCACTTATATGTGGAATCTTAAAAAGCCAAAGTCATAAAAACAGAGAGTAAAAATGGTGGTTACCAGGATGAAACAGGCTGGGACGTGGGACCTTATGCTGCAGTGCTGCAACGCTTGCACCTGGACAAACGTCTCCTTGAGCAACAAAATACAAAGAAACTATAAGGGACTAAAAAAAATAACTGCGTGCATGCGCAGTTGGGGCAAAATCTGGACAACAAGATACAAAGAGACCAAAAAGCCCTACTGCCACTTCTGAAGAGCTGGGAGCAAAAGCAGCGGGTCGGGGGAGCAAAATCGGAGTACTGCGCATGCCCCCTGCACACACCACCACCTGAGGGGTGGGCAAACCACCTCAGCCCCTCCTCCAGCCCCACCGCTGGACACACTCCTACCCTCCCCCAATGTGAGGGACCAGCTTGCAGCCCCCTCAGCTAGCGAGCCAGCGAGCGAGCCAGCAAGCCAGCTGCAGCAGGGACCGCAATAAGGCCTTGCCTGAATTTCTTGGCTGGCCTCTGATCAATTTCTATTGATTAAGGAGGCCAGGAGCCTTGGTCGGTAAGAAGGAGATGGGCTTGCAGGGGATAGGAGAGATGTTGTTTAAGGGTGCAGACTTGCAACAAGTAGTAAATAAGCCATAGAGCTCTAACATGAATACAGACAACAACATTTTATTATAATCATCGAACTTGCTAAAAGACTAGAACTTAATTATTCCAACCACTAAAAAGAAAAGATAATTATGTAATGGGATATAGGTGTGAAATATTGCTACAATGGCAGTCATATAGCAATATATAAATGTATCAAATTAAAATATTGTACACCTCAAATTTAAAAAGTGTTATATGTCAAATATATTCAATTTAAAACAGAAAAAAAAAAAAAAAGAAAAACAAAGGCTCTTCTCAACCCAGAAAACCTCTCCACACAGGTAGAAGAGAAAAAAGAAAAAGTTTTATTACAGCTTTAAACCAGAATGTGACGTGCACTACAGGCAGTTTGCTAAGAAATTGCAAAGACCGAAAGAAAGCTCACTCCCTTATATAGCCAGACGGATACAACCCCCTACATACATGTTCTTAAGATAAACAGTAACTAGTCCTCAAGTAAGAGGACTTGACAGCACCATTTGTCACATATCCTAAGTTCATCTGGTAATTGGAGGTGATTGTCTGTATTAGTTAATTAGCTTTATCCAAAGGAAGAATAAACTTCTCACATCTTCAGGACTGGAGGTAGCTTTGCAACCTGGAGCGTGGTGTCCACCTCAGCTGGGCTCTTACCCTCCCCCAGAATCTCAACCTTGGTAAAAGCAATTTTATTTTATTTATTTTATTTTTAAAAATTAATTTATTTTTAATAAATTTATTTTATTTATTTTATTTTTGGCGGCGTTGGGTCTTCATTGCTACAAGCGGGCTTTTCTCTGGTTGCGGCAAGCAGGGACTACTCTTTGTTGCGGTGTGTGGGCTTCTCATTGTGGTGGCTGCTCTTGTTGCGGAGCACTGGCTCTAGGTGCGCAGGCTCAGAAGTTGTGGCGCATGGGCTTAGTTGCTCCGCGGCATGTGAGATCTTCCCAGACCAGGGCTCGAACCCATGTCCGCTGCATTGGTAGACGGATTCTTAACCACTACGCCGCCAGGGAAGCCCAGTAAAAGCAATTTTAGAGAAAGAGGCGATGGAAAGAGAGCAAGGAGGAGTGATGGGAGATGAAAAAATAGAAGCAAAGAAAATATGTCCAGATAGTTGAAGATGCTTGACAGAGAAGGGAAGAGGCACTGAAAGGAATGGAAGACCAAGGAAGTGATTTTTTTTCCGTAAGTGTCTTTAGAGGCCGTGAGGGATGGGTGACAAAACCGATGCAGAGGGGGAAGTTGAAGGCTGAAAGGCCACAGGCTGCCTAACCCACTGTAAGCCCATGAAACACCATCTCTGGATGTGAATGTCCACTTGGGGAATGACTATTTTAGATTCTTTAAAGTTCAAGTCTGCAGCGCAAATAACAGAATCAGGGTTTAGGGTCAGGGTTAGGGCTTAGCTTGTTCAGGGTCAGGAACTGATGATATGAGATGTTTAGGTTCAGAATGTGGGATTGTATAGGGTCAGAGTTAAGAATCAGTCTGGTTCTGGGATCAGATTAGGGGTCAGTATCCAGAAGAGACAGGCTGATCTTTAGATATTACAAACCTGAACTTCATTCTGTCTCTACTTTTTTTTTTTCCTTCTCCATTCTGTAGCTAATTTTCTTTCCTTCTATTCTTCATTTATCTCTCTCCCTCTTCCTCTCTTTTCTCCTCTCTTTTTCTTAACCCCCCTTTCTCTCCCCTCTATCTTTGCAACTCAGACTAGAAGAATGTAAACAGCTTTAAAAGTTATTTCTTTGACTGAAATTGACTTTAGACCCAACATGAATAATTTAGAAACCAAAGGAGCATTAGCTAGTTCAAGGCTCTACAAATAAATAAGCAAAATCCAAATTCCGATACTTTTTTTAGCCCACAGTTGATTTTTTTTGCAATGAATTAGTGACTTGCGATTGATATTTTTTGCGGGGGGCGTGGGAGGACTGGAACAGAACAAACTTTATTCAATAACCAAAGAAAGGAGAAGCCGGGAACCCAGTTTGCAAATTAATTTATCGGAAATTGATTTTTAAAACCTTGTAACCTTGTTTCACAAGTACAGTTAGGCAAAACCCTTAACTTCCTGTAAGAGGACATCAGACTTGGCTAATCCTCAACTGGTTCGGAAGAAGTAAAATCATGTGTTGATAAATACAGATACATTTTAATATCAAACAGTAGGGTTAGTAAGCAATAGGCCATATAGGGAGTAGCCATAAATTATAAAAAAGAACAAACCATTTAAACCACAAAAGAATTATACTAGAAATTAACCCTAGCTTCCTTCCACCAAAATCTCCCAGTTGGAAATATTAAAAAGTTCGGCGAGCGGGGGCTACTCTTCGTTGCGGTGCACAGGCTTCTCACTGCGGTGGCTTCTCTTGTTGCAGAGCATGGGCTCTAGGTGCGTGGGCTATATACTTTACATATATCTCATTTGATTCATGTAACCCTGCCAGATCGACATTATTTCCATTTCATAGGTGAAAAACTTGAGGCTTCCAGTGGTGAAAAAACGTGCCCATTGTCATATAGCTAACAGGTGGATCTAGAGTCAGGTAGTCCTTGACTGTAGGAGTACCTGATTTTATAGAGCCTAATGGTAATAGTAGTAGTAATAGCATCTAACAGTTATGGAACGTTTTCCTCTGTGTGTGGCGTTTTACCAAGAGTTTAATTTAATCGTACATTAAATCTTTGAAATAATGCCATGAAGCAGGTGCTTTTACTGCAATTTTCAGCTGAGGAATCTGAGGCTCAGAGTAGTTAATAATCTTGTGCAAGAAGTTTATAACTGTTAATGCTTACATTGAAAAAAAAAAAGAAAGATCTCAAATCAGCAACTGAACTTGACAACTTAAGGAACTAGCAAAAGAAGAATAAACCAAACCATGAGCTAGCAGAAGGAAGGAAATAATAACAATTAGAGCGGAGATAAACAGAGAATAGACAGATAATAAAGAAAATCGGTAAAAACAAAAATTGGTTCTTCAAAAAAGATTGACAAAATTGACAAACCTTTAACTAGAATGCTCGAGAAAAAAAGGGAAGATTCAGATTACTAAAATCAGAAATGAAAGTGGGAACATAACTACCAATTCTCAAGAAATAATAAGAATTACAAGAGTATTATGAATAATTATATGCCAACAAGTTGCATAACTTCGATGAAATAGACAAATTCCTAGAAACTCAAAAGCTACCAAGGTGGAATCACAAAGACACAGAAAATATGATAGACCTATAACTAAGAAGGAGATTAAATCAGTTTAAGCATTAGACAAAATTCAAAATCCTTTCATCACACTCTAACTCAGAATAGAAGGAAATTACCTCTACATAATAGAGGCCATATATTAAAACCCATATCTAACATCATTCTAAATATGAAAGCCTGAAAGTTTTTCCATTAAGATCAAGAACAAGATAAGGATGCCTGCCTTTGCCACTTCTCTTCAAAATAGTATTGAAAGTAATAGTCAGGGCTTCCCTGGTGGTGCAGTGGTTGAGAGTCCACCTGCTGATGAAAGGGACACGGGTTCGTGCCCTGGTCCGGGAAGATCCCACATACCGCGGAGCGGCTGGGCCCGTGAGCCATGGCCGCTGAGCCTGCGCATCTGTAGCCTGTGCTCCGCAGCGGGAGAGGCCACAACGGTGAGAGGCCCG